GGTGGCAGCTTGTTGAGGCGAAAATTAAAAGATTAAAACTAAAGAAGAGAACTTCATTTCAAGAGCTCAACAATATTCTGTTTTTCATACGTCTTTTTTTAACGCTTAGTCGTGATTCGAACGATTTTCAGTGTAGATCAAAAACGTTTGAAGTTTTCACTTTTTGGTCTAATTTTGAGCGAATAAGGTGAGCTGGCAGATTCATTTTGTTTTTCAACTAAAAAATTACCAAAAATAGTCATCGAATCATGTCGAGTAAATATCATATTAAGGCATATTTTTTATGGAATTTTTTAAATAATATGGTCAGAACATTTGGTGCTTACAGCACAGCAACCGGCTATCCTTGTTTTAAATTTGTAATGGTTTCCCGCAAACTGAATTGATTTGATCAGAGATCCCTAGCACTTAGTTTTTTTTTCAATATCGTTTTTCAAGTTTTTTCAAAGCACTTCAGTGCAATTCTATAATTTTAATTTGAGCAAGAAGGTGTTACAGCCAAGCTCTTGATACAAAAAAATCTAATAGACGAGCAATTCCTGGCTAAAAAATGCTGAAAAAAAATTTGGAGAAAAAATGGTAGAAAGTTGATTGTTAGCATCAATTGAGACTCAAATAAATGTTTCGTTTTCTTCGGAAGTCAGAACAATAAAGAAAGACGGGCCCATGCCATGAATAGTATAAACCGAAGCTCGAAAAAGACGAGTGAACCTAGCTCCTCAGGAGTTGGTGAAACCCAAATTGACGAAGGTTCACAAGAGGAGTGAAATCATACAAAAGACTTGTTAAGAAATGGAGATATTCACACAAACTGATACAGAAAAAAAATATATTTTATGACTATTGTAGAGTACCGAGCTGGACTTGTTGATTCACAATGAAACTAAGAAATGCAAAGTGTTAAACAGACAAACTGAAGACACGATTGAAGACGGAGATCTTCACGCTAGATTGATGCAGAAAACCCACAATTCCATCTTAGAGCAGAGTTGCAAGATGGACCTGTTGAATTAGCCAAAAAGAAAAAATATCAGCAACAAATTTTTGTAAAATTTGGCCTAGGTTTTCTTGTTTTCAAGCATTGGAGTTGGAACTACAAAACGTTATTTCAGCGGAGAAATTACTGTTCAAGGTGATCCAATCGCCTTGTTATGCTATATTGCTAGACCCTTGCCTCTGATAAAATCATTCGAAGTTCCAGACAAAAATATTCAAACGTGGTAGCGTATGACTCGGGAGCTCTTAGCGCATTATGAACCTCTAGAAATTGTGAACTGGTTCCCGTTTAAGGCTAAATTTGATTCGAAATTGGGCACTACCAAGAACCAAGCGAAAATTTTTCCCGGCTGTGGATTCATTTTTTGTTTGATTTCATTGTTTTGAGTGACAAAACGTTTTTTTTTTTTTTGGTCAAGTTCGGCATCAAAATAATGGAAATAAGACACATTAGGACAATTTTTAAACTCTTACGAGCTGGTTTTAACTTGTGACTGCAATTGACCCAAAACTGGGGATCTACTTAACAATCGCTTCCCTTTGGTACCTACTTAAGAATTGCCACCCCTATTAATAAAAGCAGTAAATTAGCGCTAGCGCTTTGTCTTGAGAATTCTAATTTTGCTGCAATCTGATTGGTCGAAAATGCGTTATTTTAATCTACTTAACAATTGTCCCCCTTTTCCTAAAAAGGGGGTGGAATTGTTAAGTAGATCTAAAACTGGTTATTACTAGAATCAAGCAAAAATGTTTTCTGGCTGTGCATCCAATTTTTGTTCGCTTTTTGGTTGCTTTAGGATTTAATGACGGAAATGGTTTCTACACATTGGACGATTCGAGCGCATCCAGCAAACTGACTCGTGAAACCACTCTTTGTGTGGTCAATTTAAATTAGCCCAGAGTTTGTTTTTCTTGCTCAACACTTTCACAAAAAACGTCAATAATGGTAACTTGAACAGAGGAACAATTTTTTGCAACGTGTCAAGTGTTTGTTTTGTGTAATAAACCCAGGTATGCTAATATGTGAGTCCGGAATAGTCATTTCTGGGTCAGTTATAGGCATGTCTAAGTTAGTCATGCTCATGCCAGAGTACAGCATGCTTAAATCCTGCCCAGGTATGACAAGATCAGATGCATCATTTAAATGTTTCATATAAGACCAGGCCTTAATAATAGAAAACAAAAGTGGGCATTTCCTAATACCTGTAAAATGAAGTTTAAACGAGAATCCGATTTGCTTTCCAAAAATTAATGAAAGATATCAAGGCGTTTAGCATATTCAGCGCTTTCACTCACTCATTTAACATAATGTTCTTTATAGAAAATACATTAGTGGATGTCAGAAGTAGTGTATTCACGATGTTGGGGAGATTTCTCCCAGATATGCAGGTTTTTTTAAAAATATTGATGTAACCCCCTCTCCAGTTCTCCCCCTTAAGATTATGGCTAGGACCTTGCTGCTATCTAAAGAGTTGAGAAGGTTGACTGCAAAAAATTAAGAAACTGAGGTTGCAACTTCGAAAAAATGGTTTTTTCTCTGTTCACAGGTTGCACTGCTTATTAAATGGGCTTTGATAAGATTTGTGCCTCAATTGAAAAAAAAAGTTTCCAAAAATTGTGCGTCATACAGTTTTCATAAATTACAAATTTTTAGTCGTACAATTTATTATAGAGTTTTCATACAATTTTTTGTACGTATGGAATTGTATGGAAATGTATGACAAGATATTTCCCATTTATGAGAATTGTATGATAAGCATTTTTGGTCAACCGGGGAATGAAAACATCTTTCAATCTAGGCTACGTATTCCAAATATTTACTGAACGCAGCAAATCATAACATAACTACCCGCAGTGACAAAATTGCGATTGAAATCGAGTTTTATACAGATAACATACTGTATGAAAATCGATATTAGATCGCGCATTTAGATATATGGATTAACATGGATTTTACATGGATTTATTATAGTAATGAAAATCATCAAAATCTCAACAAAATTTCTTGATTATAACTTTTTTGGTTTGAGAATTTTGGTTTGCGAATTTTTGTACTCAGAGCTACAGATAGCAAGAGTCAGCGATTTTGAATTTTGCAAATCTAAGGGCTCCCGCGGTATGAAAAGTAAAAGTATACATTTTCTCTCGAATTGTCTTGTTCTTTATCAACGTTCTAAGCACAATTATGTAAAGCAATTCCCTTTAATTGAAAAACTCATTTAGTAACAATTCGTTTTTGCTGCAGATTTTCAGGCATTTTTGTATATTTTCAGGCATTTTTAAATAAAAATATATTTTAGGCATTTTAGACAGTCATAGAAATATAGGCAAAATGGACAAAAATTTTTGTAGTAAGATTACTAGAAAAATGAAAAAATAACAAAATTTTTTCAAAATTTTTTGCAGGAAATTTTTGAATTTTTAAGTTTTTGGTTTCCATAGGAAGCTAAAAAAACCCAAAAATTAGTTTTATTTGCCTAGAATTAAAAATCATAAGAATCATAAGAATTATAATTATTATTAAGATCTTAAATTAGGCATAATTTAACTTGTAAGCCTACTCGCTTGCTTTATTCGCTCGAATTCAGACAAAAAAATCAAAAATTTCAAACCTGTTTTCTTCAAAACCGGGAAAAAATTTAAAAATTTTTTTTTCAAAGAGGTTCGAATCACGACTGAAATGGCTTCAATGTGACATATCACTCAACCCAGTCCGATCATTATTTGTGTTACCTGATTTTGCGTGGAAAACAAAAAGCAAAAAAAACTAAAACACACCCAAATACCAAGTTGCTTCCCATTTTCAATGGTCGGAACAACAAAAATAGCCGGTTACTGTGCAAGTATCACAAAATGTTCAGATAAGTTCAATAGAAAAATTTGCAGCAATTGTTTTTATTTTGTTTATTTAATTTTTTTTCTAGTTTCAAAATGTCTTTCTTTCTGCTATTGTTTCACAAAGAGAGACTGCTTTGGCTTAAAACCCACTATTATGAAACATGTGCTAGTTGCATAGTAAAGTAAAGGTAGTTGTGTAGTAAAATTAATTTGATGAAGTCAGTCTTAGCAATTTTTGTCTAGTTTATTCCAAAAAATAAATCAGAACTATTCAGATCAGCTGTTCGTTGACACTGAAACGCTTTTTTTAAATTAGATTTACAACCACGACTAGTAGGTTTAAAACCATACCGCACTTAGATGCCGCACATCTTCTTTGAAGTAGCCAAAATTGGCTGGAAAAAATTTCGTAATTACTTCGTAATGCTTCGAGAGTAGTCGGAACAACAAATTTTGGTTCTCTTCTCTGTTCAGGGACTGATAGTCTTATGGGATGGCAATCGATGTAGTTTTTGTCTTAATTTGCTGGAGTTAATTAATGAAAGTTCTTTTTTACAATTTCCATATATGAAAAAATGCTAGTCATACAATTTCCATATATGAAAAAATACTAACCATAGACCTTTCATGCACTTTTCTGTATTTGTGGAAATGTATGGAAAGTGTATGCCTAGCATTTTTCCATATATGACAATTCTATGACTAGCATTTTTCGTCAACCCGGGTGCTCTGCAAGTATGGTGGACACCTTTATGTTAAAATTAACCCATTTTGAGAAAACTGTATCAATAGGTAAAAATTTTATTTCGCTGGGAAATCTGATAATTAATTTTCATTTTCGAAATAAGAAGTCGATCACGTTTTTTGTGACTTTTACACTTTTGCTGTTTGCTAGAGGAGTTTCTCTTTCTTTTAACAATAAAAATGATTAAAATGAAACAAATCGAAAATTGCAGAATTAAATAAGGAATTAAATTTGTTATCTGTTCAGTCTGATAAACGAAAAAAGTCGGAACAGACGATTTTAAGAATTTTTAAATTTGGACTCCAAATCAAAACTAAAGTGGCTTCAATATGATACTACCTAGACATGTTTACTACCAGTCTTGACTGAAAGATTTTTATAAAATCAAGAACTTCCTTAAAGCGATAGATTTTGACTCTATTTGTTCTCTACTAATATTTCCAGGTCATATATTTATAGAATAATTTACAAATGGGTTTGGTTTTTTTCATTCACATCGACGGTTACTTTTTCTTGGTCGCTCTTCCTCGTGAACTCTTCCTCTTCTCCCTCGTCTGGAATTGTGTCCATGGTCGGATCAACAGCCACTCCAGTCCCCCCTCCTTTTGTATTCGGATGGCCACGACTACTCACACTCACACTGCTTAATCTGTAATAGATAGCGAAGTATTTGTAACAAGTAGAGAAAATTTCAAACAAACAGAATTAAATTTGGAGATCAATGTGTTATTATTTAGCAATTATTTCTGAAAAATTAGGTTTCGCCAGCAAAAACGGTCTGAAATAGGTCTTTGGATCTTTGCAATGAACTTTGTAACAACTCTCTGAAATCAGTAGTAAAAATTTGAATCAGACAAAATCAAATGAAAAAAGCAATTGACATATTTCAGGAAACATTTGCTAGCAAAAACCTAGTTTTTCTGACAGAAATGAAGTCTCAATGTCGCTTGAAAATTATTGATCATTTGTCAAAGTTTGTGACATTTGACAGATTGCTTTTTAAATTAGCTTGTAATTCTCTAGAAATCAAATATTTCATTTAATTCACAATTGGCCATCAAAAAGGGAACTAAAAATGTTATAACCTCTGTCAAATTCAGCTTAAAGAATATTACAAATTGGTGGGTATAAAACTTGCGCGCTTTTTGCTATTTTTTTTTCATAATTTACTGACCTCAAAAGTAATCGTTGATTATTGCAACTGCTTTACAAATTTAGGAGAAAAAAATTAGGAAAATTAGGAAAAATTTGTTGTGAAATTCCTTACAGAGCTTATAAGATGTTCTTTGAGGAAATGTTTGCAGGATGGCCAATAGGGGAAATTTAAGATAAAAAACATGGTAAGAGGCAGGGGCGGATCTAGGATTTTCTGTTTTCTCGAGGGGGGGGGCGGATTTTCAAAAATGTTCGAAAATTTTGTCGACCTTTTTTTTTAGGTCGACCGAATTGATTTTCTGAGCTCTCCCAAAGCACTAAAAAGACCCTGTTTTGGTAAAATTTTGAAAAACAGGCAAAATTTTGAAAAACAGACCAAAAAGGCGTTTTTAGGCACTTTTTAGAAATTTTTGAAAAACAGGCCAAAAAAGGCGTTTTTAGGCACTTTTTAGAAAATTTTGACCAAAAAAATTGCGTTTTTTTTGGCGCGCGCTCCCCCCTAAAAGTAAGTATACATTGGCGCCAAAGGCGCCTTTAGAAAGTATTAGGGTCCGTCACCAAATATGGATATCTCATAATAGTACAAAGGGGAGACCCTTTGGGTCGGCAGGGGGTCGAATCCCTGAGGGTGGGGGGAGAGGAAGGTGTCAGCCCCCGGCCTCCCCCCTCCCCTAAATCCGCTCCTGGTAAGAGGGGTACGGTCTCGGAGCAATATTACGATAGGTGGTAATTTTGAGAGCTATTAGAGTAGTGCAGCTATCCTTCTAAGATAGTTTCAAGTAAATACAGTATTTTGAGATGAAATGTAATTCAAAAATTCAACTTTTACGCATCTTTTTTGCCTGATAGTTTTTTTTGGCTCGGATATAAATTATAAATAATTTTAGAATAAAAAAGTCGTGATCCAGCTTTTTAATTCGAACCTGCCACCTTTTGTAATATATCAGCCATGTCTGATTTTTTTTTTGATTTATTGTAAATTACCTTCGTCTAATTGTGCCTCCGAGTCCTTCGAACTTCTGTCGTTGTCTTAGCTGTTCACTTTTATTCTCGTCACACACGTCTCTGTATTTAGCAATGTACTTCTTAGCCAGTAAGTGGACTATGAAGAGAGGTATGGACACTAGCATGGTCATTATGGCTATGCTTATGGGCATTAGCGAGTTCAGATTCGACTGTGGAGGATCGAACACAAAATTGGTCATCGTAACTACAATCATCGAATTCTGCATACCTGGAAAAAAAACCGATATTTTCGCCTTTTTTTTCTCTGTCCGCTTTTTTGAGACGCCTGAAAAAAGGTTGGATAATATAGTCTTATGCCGACAAGAAAGGATAATGATTAATAACCATGTTTTTACATCAATTTGTATAATAATCTCCCTTGGGAGGGGCGGATCTAGGATTTTCTCGAGGGGGGTTTTCAAAAAACTTTCGAAGATTTTGTTTTTTTTGTCGACCTTTTTTCAGGTCGAGCAAAGTGAATTTACGAGCTTCCCCAAAGCACTAAAAACACCCTGTTTTGGTAAAAACTTCGCGCCGCAGGCAAAAATTTAAAAAACAGGCCACAAAAGGCTCCCCCCTTAAAATTAGTACATATAGGCACTTTAGGCGCCTTTAGAAAGTTTTTAGGGTCCTTCGCCAAAATGGATATCTCAAGCAAAGGTGGAACCATTTGGGTCGACAGGAAATCCGCCCCCGCCCTTCTTAATCCGCCCCTACTTGGGAGCAATTCATGTTTATTTATTATAACAATAATCGGGTTCAATTCCCACTTACATTTGCACACAATTGGCAGTTTCCAACATTTATGCTAGTCGAGTTTTATTCTAGTCGCGTATGGAATAATGCAGGGTACAAGATTATTGCATTTTAGCCGATAAAAATTCATTCTTAAAGTTGAATATCATAGTCGTGACCAGGGGCGGATTTAGGGGGGGGGGGACACCCTCTCTCAGGGGTTCGACCCCCTGCCAACCCAAAGGGTCCCCTATTTTTAGTAATACCTTTTTAAGTACTAATTTTAGTTCTATTTTTAGTACTATTTTTAGTACAATTTTGAAATACCATTGTTAGTGACGGAGCCTTCGGCGCCAATATTAATTAACTTTGAAAGGAGCACGTGCCGAAAAAACGCAATTTTTTGGTCATAATTTTCCAAAAAGTGCCTAAAAACGCCTTTTTTGGCCTGTTTTTTCAAAATTTTGCCATGAAGAAGAATAGTTGGACAAAAAAAGGACTTTTTAGTGCTTTGGGAGAGCTCGAAAAATCAAATGGGTCGTTCTAAAAAGAAGGTCGACAAAAGTTTCAAAATTTGGTTGCAGTTCCGCCCCCCTCGAGAAAATCCTAGATCCGCCCCTGGTCGTGACCACTTCTTGACTTTCATCAACCTGCAGTTCTCTAGGCAGCAATGTTCCTTCCATAAGCAAACTTGTTCGTTTTGCTTGCAGAAATTAAGTGGTACCAACTAATCGGATGTACAAATAAACCGATTTGTCTAAACCCAAAAGATAAATAATATGTATGTCACTCATATATACTCTCACTACTATTTGATTGTAGAATTAACTTACCAACTTCGAGTGATATAGTTTTAATCTGTGAGCAGCGCAGTTGCAGAATCAAAGAAGCAACACCGCCAAGTACAAAGCCCCCCAGAGGCAGCAGACAACCTCCTAGATAGTCCCGCAGTGAGAAAAGTTTGAACGCAAAGGAGCTCTTGTACAGCGCTGAAATATCAATGAGTATATGATTAAAAACTGCATCTATATGCTTCAATCTTTTTGCTTCAATATTTGCAAAAAATTTTTCAAAAAAATCAAAATTTTTTGTCGACATTTTTTTAGGTCGACCAAATTGATTTTATGCGCTCTCCCAAATCACTATAAAGACCGTCCTTTGATCAAACTTTCTGAAAACAAAACAGGTCATTTTTTTTGTAAACAACAGGCCAAAAAGGAGTTTTTTGGATTTTTTTGGAAACTTTTGACCAAAAAATTGCGTTTTTGGCACACACTCCCCCCTCAAAATTAAAATTTATAGGCACCAAAGGCCTCTTTGCCAACGTTTTTGATATAGCCAAAACTATATATCACAAAAAAGTACGCAATGTGACCCTTTGAGTCGAAAGGGGGTCGAATTCTTGAAAATAGACGACCCCCCCCCCCCCCTAAATAAGCCCCTGCTTGAGAGTATTAACATTTATATTGAAAAGTTCCGGCAATCAGATCAACAAAACCGATCAGAAACAAATACAGACAACCCGTTGTATTTAAAAAGTAACGATTCCTATAAAAATTAGTATGGTTTCAAAGAAAAAGGAGGCAAGCCTTATCAGTGCGGTTCAGTTCGGATTCGGCGACAAGGCTGGGAAAACACGGCTACAGAATCCGCAACAAGGCTGATTGTCTGAGATTTTTCATGCAATTGTCGAGTAAAGAGAAATTGGGTAAACATAGCGCGATTTAAAACATACTGCTATTTTTTTTCGGTTGTCGAATCAAGAAAAAAACTGATTAAGCAGTAAATTCAAATGCTAGCTCAAGCAGCACAAAAGTTTGCGGAATCGAGAACAAAATACGTGTTTTGGGTTGATTTTTATGTAATACCCTAAAATGCTGCACGTCTTTATTTGAACACACAAAAATGTGACCATTATCAAATTAAAGTTATGTTTGTTGTGCAGATGGTCGACAGAACTTTCGGTCAATTTCAGTGATAGAAATCGATTTTGCTTTTGATTGGTTGACGAAGCTTAGAATAGTTTTTTGACAAAGTTTATAATTATCAAACGTGGGATTTTGTTTGAGTGAGTGATTAAAAATTTGCTTGAGCAAATGGTAATGTAAATTATTTCTCTGATTTGCAACCCAGCGTCTAGTTTTAATATCTATGCTTGGTGTGGGTTTTTTTTATTCAGACTTTTCGACTTGTTAACAAAGCGTTTTTGTCGGAATTTTTTATACCATCTGAGAGATATTGTTACTTTATTTTAAAATTTAAAAGATATTTCACCTGTGATTGTTTTGCGTGAAGTTACGGTCGTTTGAAAATGGCTATGTTGGCTAGTTTGAGACGATTAAAGAGCGATATATTGCGTACTAATAACACGCGTAAGAAGCAAATGAATCCGTTCCAAATTAAATTGCGACCAGCAATTTAATTCTCTTGGCACAATACGAGGCATTAAACACACCCTTAGTATTTTATAGCGTGTCGGGGGATGAAATGAAGAAAAAATGAGTAAAAAAATTCGTCTTTTTTTCTCAATTATTTTGTCAATTATTCAAGCAGAAAAAAATCGTTCAAAGGGCCTTAAGTGCAATCGGAACATTCAGGGATTTGCCTTTATATACGAGCAGTTTTGTTAGCATGTAGTTCTGTTTTTGATCCATTTTTTAAAGAAAGTGCTGAGTATTTATGCTTGGTGTGTTTTTTTTCAGACAGTTTTCAACATGTTAACTTGGCTTTTTGACGAATTTTTTTTCAGTGAATTCTATATCATGTAACATTTAAGTTCAAATTTATTTTAAGTTCAAACTTAAAAAGATATTTCATTGTGATCTTTTTCCGTAATTTTACGGGCGTTTGAAAATTGCTAAATTGGCCAATTTGGGATAATTAAAGTGCGATAGATTGCGTACTTATAACACGTAAGAGGTCAGCAATTTACTCCTAATATCACAATACGAGACGCTAAACACCCTTAGTATTTTGCGTAGTGTATGGGAAGACAAAGAAGAAAAACGAAAAAATATATATATATTAATTTTTCTTGTCAATTTTTCAATCAAACATTCAGTCGTAACATTCAGGGCTTTGCCTTGGTATACGAGCAGTCTTTGTTGTTTTTCTAAATTTACTAATAAAGTCTTTAAAAAACAAAAGCGGTCAAAGAACAAGCCCTGTAGGACCCCCTCAGGGATTCGAACCCCTGCTGATCCAAGGGTCCCCCTCTGTACTATTTTGAGATATCCATTTTGACTGACGGGTTATAAATTTTTTAAAGGTGACTTTGGCGCCAATTTATACTAATTTTGAGGGCGAAGCTCACGCCAAAAAACGCAATTTTTTGGTCCAATGTTTCCACAAAAACGCATTTTTTGGCCTGTTTTTTTTCAAAATTTTGCCTGCGGCGCATAAAACTTGGCCAAAACAGGGTCTTTTTCAGTGCTTTGGGAGAGCTAGAAAAATCAAATTGATCTATCTACTCAACATTTAGACGCAGTTTTCAAAAAAATTTCAGAAACCAGTCCCCCTATCATCATCCCCCCCCCCCGCCCCCCCAACCCCCACCGAGAATCCTAGATCCGCGCGTGGTATAAATTCTGATTGCTGTTACTGAGAAAAGTTAAATTAGAAATAACAAAGGACCTCGAAAGCCGTTATCATAAAATTAAACGCCCTCAAACCCTCCTCTCCCAACGCTTTCGCTTCCAATAGTTTCATTTCCAAGCAGCGAACATGGAATTTAAATTTACGATCAAGCGGCCATAACTTTACGATCAAACGGCTGTGAAAATGAAAATAAGACAAATATGACTTTAAACGAGTGGCATAATTGTCGTTAAACTGGTCGTAACGTTAATTGCAATCTGGTGCTAATATCCATATGTTTGATAATATAAAGGGGGTCAGTTATGTGTGTAGCACATGTGTGGCAATAAATAGCAGCTTCCTAATTCCGAACGAGTGTCAGACACTTATCGGCTAAATAATTCCAAATTAAGTGCAATATGTTCCGAAATGAGGCGCATTCAAAGTTTTGACCCTTTCCGTTGGGATATAAGACAAGCTTGGGGGTTTTTACCGCCATCCATACCAGAGGTGGTGTCAAAAAATTTTGGTAAACTTTGGGGACCTTCTTCGACGCTTCAAGAAGGCTTGGAAAGTTTGGTTGACCGAAAAAAAAGGTCCAAGCTTTCTTGAAGCGCCGGTTTTCTCTATCTTTTGCCTCGTATTGGGCACTTTTTGGAAAGGTTTTGACAAAAAAATTGCGTTTTTTTCGGCACCAAAAGCGAACAAGACTGCTCGTTTTAAGGTGAAGCCCTGAATGTTCCGACTGCCTTTTAAGGTCTATGGAGCAGTAGTAACACAAAAAAATTAAATTTAATGAAATAAAAAGAAATAAAATGAGTAAAATGAAAATAAATGAGACTTTTGTGAAAATGATCCCCCACACGCCATACAAAGTGTAACGTGATAAATTGCGCTCCTAGTAACAAATCAATAATGGTAAATTAGTTTTCTTCAACCAATTTGGAACGATTATTAAGCCGGGTTAAATCTCCGCTTAGTTGACCTCTTAGTTAATAGCGCGAAAAAGTACGGTGTTAAATTGTATGTCTTTAAATTGTAGAACAGCGCGCGAAATATATCGCGCAATAATTGTCCCAAATTGACCAAAATCGCAACCTTTGAACCCACATAACTTCACAAAAATTAATCACAGGTAAAATATTTTTTTCAGATTTAAGCTCAGGACAACAACACTTTTTGAATGATATAAAAAATTTCCGTAAAAATGGCTAGTTAAAAAGTCGAAATTTTTCTGAAGAAAAAACCCACCCCGAGGAGAAATATTCGATTGGCACGAATTTCGCCCTTCTACTGATTTTGTCCTCTTTATTTAATTAAAACATTTCGTCCCATATCCAAGTCTATGGGACGAAATCTGTGTACGCCTTGAAGTGGGACGCAATCTGTTGAAATTAAAATGGGACGTGATCTGTTATGGGTCGAAATATGCCACAGCCCAAATATTTCGTTACTTTCGTTACGAAAACTGGAACAAAAACACAATAAACACACTATTTTGACCAAATTTGGTGCGCCGAAAGCGAATTCTGAAAAAAAACAGGTTAAAAAAGCCTAGTGAAAAGATTTAGGGTCGGTCGGCCGAAATTGGATTTTGCAAAATTGTCCAAACCAACCCTCAACCCCACCCTAAGTCCACTCCTGTAAGGTTATGTTTTATGATTGTTTCATGCTTTATAAGTTACGCTTAAAACTCGATTCTCTTCCAGCTTCCCATTTTCTTCAGTTTTTCAGTTTTTTGACACCGCAATTCGCTTGAAAGAAAAAATGATCAAAACTGTGTTCACTTTTATTTTAGTGACATAATTTAATTAAACTTTCGAAAATCAAAATTATTTCTAAAGAAGCAATTAGGAAAGCAGGTTTTAGCGAGAATCAAAGGGGAGGTACTTGAAAATGGGAACTTGTATATTACGCCTTTTTCCATGTATGAAAATCGTATAACAAGCACTCTTATACTAAAAAAAATTGATGATAGAAAATTCATGATATTCATTTTTCCAGGAATAAAACATGATGACAAGCAGTTTTTTTCATCACGGGAACTGACCAATTGATATGTAGACTAGCAGTAGCAACAGCACAACTGGCTTGGCGTACTTCTTAACAGCCAGAGTCATCTTCCTCGCTTTGGCTATCAGGACCATTCCGAGACACACTGGTAAAGCAATAGCCACCAGACCCTGGATGAGTGTCCCGTACGGGATGTTTCCGGCTGTAAAGCTGGGGTCATCTGAGATGAATCGGCCGTAGATGAACAAGTTCAAGGGCATTGTACCTAAGAAGTAACAGCAATATTAAATTATGATTTAAGATCAAAAACGTTCATTGAAACGTAACGAGGGAAAGGGCCAACGCCTATCCAGAGACGCCTGAAAACATGCTGGGTATTAGTTTTAGAGTATTAGTTTTAGAGCTCTCTCTGGAGATGTTTTTGTTGGTTTCACTGTTTGCGAAGTGTATATTTTGATCGCAAGTAACAACCATGGAACATGGTGGGCCTCCAACCGCCACCTTTCGGTTGTCAGGTGGATACATTGTCCACAAGTCAATATATGATAATTTTGAGGGTGGCAGTAAAAATGTTATTTATTGATTCAAAACTTTGACAAAAATGCTCGTCGAAAAAATATTTCACGAAACAGACAATATTTTGTGAAATCCCCATAATCCGGTCCTTTTTGCGCTCACGGGTTCGACCTCATTGACCTCATATTGACTCTGGACCACCTAAAGATATCTTTTTTCTGGCTACTAAATGAGACACATCTAACTTAAAATTGTCCTGAAGAATCTTTCCGCAACAAATTAATTTTGACTAGAAAATATATTTTTGAGGGGGGCAAGCCGTACTTCAGACTTTAAACAACCAAACTTTAGTTCAAAAGGAAGAAAGTTGACTAAGCACAAATATCTTAACCGACAAAATGTCTTTGAATAGAAAAATAGTGAGCTCATACCGGCCGCAATGGCGGTGCTGAAGAAGGACATGGAGATAGAGAGGGGGACCTCCCCCTCGACCAGATAACTGGCAGTGTTGCTGATGCCTCCTCCGGGCGCGCATGCCACCATCAGCACCCCCAGAGCAATGTCCGCCTCAAAACCCAGCAGGCGCGCAATTCCTAGCCCATACTTAAATGAGAATAGCCCGCTCATGAGTAAGTAGTACAAAATGTTTTGGCAACATTAGTTCGAGATAAGGTTTTTGTAAGGAAACGTAAGGAAAATACGTTACAGGTATTTGTACGCGGAATCCACGGAAGTTTTGTAAACGGTATCCACTTACATTTTGGAACAAGTTTAAAGGTTTGTCAATGGAATCCAGGAACATACAGACACAAAACTGTGAGCCTATTCAGTGCACAGTTTGGTCTCGTAATGTAGCCAGATCCAACTTTTTTGTCGAGGACATTAATAAGCCAGTTTATTATAACTAGTTTTCGAGGTGTTCTTGCTGGGAAATTAGCCTTGCAAACCGCATGGGAATTTGATTTTTTCAATAGGAATTTAAGAAACCGCAAACTCCTAATAGAAGAAAAAGTTTTTATGAATTAAGTTTTCGTTCCGGTCGAGCATAATAATTAAAAAAGGATAGACTAATGTTGTGACCATAGTCTTTAGAAAACTACGGCTTAGAATGTTTTTTATTCCAAATTAGTGTAGTTTTTCTCCATAGTGTGAGCGGACGTAAAGATATAATATAGGCATATTAGACAGCCATAGTAATATAGGCAAATTGGAAAAAAAATTTTTTTGAAAATGACTAGAAAAACAAAAAAATTTTAAAAAAATTTTTTCAAAACTTTTGCAGAAAATTTTTGATTTTTTCGAAATTTTTCGTTTCAAAAATGAAGCTAAAAATTTCTGAAACCAGTTTTAAGTGCTTAAAGTTAAGTTTTAGGGTTTTACAATAGGCATATATTAGGCGTTTCAGCTTTTGTAAGCCTGCTCACTTGCTTTATTTGCTCGAATTAAAACGAATAATCAAAAATTTCAGAATTTTTTAATGTGGTTCGAATCATGACCTAAAGGGCTTTATTATAATAAATCACTCAACCCAGTCCAATGATTATTTGTGTTACCTGATTTTGCGTGGAAAACAAAAAGAAAAAAATTAATGGTGGGATAAAAAAATTGAGTTTTCGTTCCGGTCGAGCGGAAAGGTGGGTGGGACACTTACTGGAGGTAGAAGCACAAACTGACACAATGCAGCTGCGATTAGAGGCTTGGGTCTCATGAGTATAAAACGGATGTCCTTGAGAGAAATCTCAGTGCCAAACAGCACATTCAGCAACACTATCACAGCCGCCCCCAAGTAGGGGAAGATGGGGTCGAGCCAGGTGGGTTCCAGAATAATCACTATCTCCTGCTGCTGTTCAGTGGAGTATTCAGAAGTTCTCATCACGGTGGAATCATATGTTTTATTTTCAACGCAGCTGATGACTTCATTGCCTGTAAAAAAAATAAGATAGTTTGAAAAAATGCATTTATTTCATCTGCGCACCAATAAAGGCAGTTTTTTGTCAAAAACAGCGTTTTAAAACATTTTCTCAAAAATTTGGCAAGGTAAGGATTTTATAATGGAAGAGTCTTTAGACTGTTTTGGTGAAATTAGAAAAAATTCGAGAAAGTTTCCAAAAATAAAGTCGAAAAATAGATGATCTTTTTCGAATAAAATCTTGATCCACCCATGTACCCTACATCAAAAAAGCTTTGTTGTAAATTGATCCAGTTTTTTTGGGAGTTCGGACTAAAAGAGTTTTTCAGATGACAAATATCTCAAAGTAATTATATATTTCAAGCAATTCGTACATTTTATTTTTCATATGAACACTTACCGATCCGTTTAGTTTTCACTTTGAATCTGGCTCTAAGATCATCTTGCTCTGTTTTCGTCACCACGAGAAGATTGCCATGCTTAGGAGTGCATTCTACCACTCCTATAGTCGCCTGCTCTGATGGGTGAGACAGTACCAATTCCAGGGATCCCCCATCATAAACCTGATTTAGTATTTCCGGGGGACCATCAGTGTTTATAATTTCAATCTGAATGTACGCCAAGTTGGGTACGAAAAAAACGCAATTTAGCAGCGTATAAATTACGATAATTTCTTTTATACGGACCATTTGGCCGGATTTGTTACTTCAGACAACGTTCGCAAAAATTGATTTGAAAATGGTTAATTAAGTTTCAAAAAGTTTGCTGAAGAAATGAACTGTTGATAATTATAAATTGGACTTCAATTTTTGAGTTTGAGCTAGAGCTTTGGGGCAGAGAAGTAACGTTAGATTTCAATTATGACAAGTTATACCAACTTAAAATCATATGGCTGTTTATTAGAGTTGTTCAAAGCCTTTCAAAGAGAAATAGTTGGACGCAGTTTATATCAAAATGCGGTCGCATTTGAAAGTTCTCCATTTAATCTCCAGAAAAGTCTACAAACTACTCAGCGCCAGTTTGAATTATCGACCACAATGCAAACTCGGTTTGACGAGGTCGTCGGTTATATTTGCGCTCGGCATTCAATTAGACGGCTATAGGAAGTCTGTTCGGCTAGTCAAATAACTTCTGTTTGTTAAAGAGAAACTATCTATTCTATGTTTTTGCGTCATTCGTATCTAAACCGAGGAGTTTTAATCTTTTCACATCGGATTTGAGGGCATAGGAAAGCCCCAAAAATGAAGGGCAATGGCTGACATGAAGATCTGTGATCATGAGTATTTCTCATTCAAGTCTGAATCTTTCAATAACTTTCTGTTTCAAAATTTGTTGTCTAAAGCACTGAATTTTTGAATTGCAGACAGCTCCAAAAAGATTCGGATAAACTTAATTTTTTTTATGTTGCCCCCGGTCCTGCTCAGTGCTTGGGAGATGTCACCACGGACTTCAGTTGATGAACATCTTCATTTTCGGCGTGACATAATTTTAGTCTCAATAAGCAAGATTTGAATAGCCAAATAGTTTTTTAGCAGCGAAAAATGATCGAAATTGGAATTCAATCTGAGTTTCAAATGTTTCCGAAAAGTGTTAACAAATATTGTTCGAACTGCTTATATTGATCAACTTTTTGTCAATAGAAAAACTTACAGCTGAAACAAAGCGTTCTCTGCCTTTCTTCTGCGGTATTTGGAAAATAAATTGCAAAAGGTGCTGACAGACACAGGCTTTTTAACGCTAAGAAAGTAAGTTCCACCCGGCTTATTTATTTTAGAACTTGAATAGAGAAGAATTTACTAGCGCGGTAAGCATTAACTCACCAAAAACAAATGAACCCTGCGTGGATGGTATAAATATAATTAGTAGCAAAAAGTTCGGACAGACAGAATTAATTAAAAAGAGCAAATGATCTTTTTCAGGCAATTTTTGCATGCAAAAGCTAATTTTTCAGACAGAAAGTATGTCTCAATGTCACTTAAAAAATGAAATTTGCATGCAAAAATTCCTCCAAATTGGCAGATTGCTCTTTTTAATTATTTCTGTCTGTCCGAACTTTTTGCAACTCTCTATAGCTGTAAAAAGTTGGAGCAGACAGAAATAAATACAAAGAGCAATCTGCCAGTTTTGATCAGTTTTTGTATACAAATTTGAGTTCTTGCGTGACCTTGAATCAAATTTTCTGTCTGAAAAATAGTTTTTTTTTCGTGCAAAACTTCTCAAATATAATTCGGACAGACAGATTTAATTAAAATGAGCAAGCAATTCTTTTCGACGTTTTTTTAATGCAAAATCTGAAGCCGAACAACATTGAATTTTTTGTCAGACCAAATTCAAAATGCATGATCGTCGATTATCCGATGATTATCCTAGCCTATTTTTTAAATAATGCGATGAACATCCAGATTTCACTATGAAACAGTTCGTAAAATTAGTTAAAAAAAATGAAATCTAGAGTTATTTTTTAACAACAAAAAAAACAACAATTAAACACCACCCCCACCCCCCAAAAAAACGGAAGTAAAGATGATCAAATTATTCAAATTTTGGAAAATAATCGCAGAAAATCATCAGCCATCCTGAGCAATGTTTTTCCTGTTTGAAGGCCTACTAATTGACGCTTCGGATGCAATTGCCCGCCGTGGTTATAAGTTTTGAGCGAAACTCTGCTTTATGATCTTTCGACGTTATGTTTATTTTAGTTTCAATTTCCGTTGATGTCTAGACAGTTGCTCTTTTCAATTAATTCTGTCTGTCCGAACATTTTGCAACTCTCTATAGATCATCTGCTTTTCTTAATTAATTCTGTCCGTTCTAACTTTTGCAACTCTCTATAACAAATTTATCGTACAATGTCTCAGTTTCTGAAAAAATTCTGACCTTGAGTCAGTGAAATTGCGTTGAAGTTACAAACGAATTTTTGAAATTGTGTGAAAACTATTACTGAGCAAACCAAAAGAAATTCAGTGCTGTTTTTTAAATAACTTCAAGTTCTTAGCTTCAAAACAGTTTTCATTCAGCAGCCAAGTCCAAAATTTAGTTTTGTAAAAGAAAAAGCGTATAAAACGCCGGCAAAAAGTCAAAAGCAAAACTTCAAACTATTTCTAATGAGTTTCAGATTGAAGGACAGAATTTTTTCAAAAAATTAAGACGTTGTCCGTTAAAAGCTAAAACGTTAAAGCTATAACTTCAACGCTATTTACGTTTGCTTGTGAAGTTATTGCATGCAATTAAATGTCACAACGCCATTCTACTGCTCAGATTAGCCACTATATTGTTTTTAATTTACAAGAAATGTAATATTGGTAAGCCAGAGTTAATCAAAATTAGAAATTTTTGAACTTTGGGTGCCATATTGATATTGCAGACAATCTTGAGTCATAAATTATCTTGGAAAAAGTAGCTTTTTTATGCAATGCTTCTGAAACACTCTAGTGTTCTTGGAATGCAATTCTTGCAAGTTTCTTGCCGACTAATGCAAATATTGCAAGAATGTTACAAGATTAGCATTCTCTTAGCCACGTTGAAATTTCACTGATGGTTTTGTAAAAAACGTTTTTCGCACAAACAGTTGAATACGTAACTTTTTTTATTTTTCGTCATTTTTTTTATACAAAAATTAATTAGAGGTAGCAAAAAACTTCTGATTACTTCTGAAAAATTTATTCCAAGATATCTCACAAGATTATTTGAAAAACATCCTAAAATTATCTTGCAAGTTTTTAATTTCGAGATTTTCATGTCACATTTCTCGTTTCATTCACTTTTTTTTTCTGCTCGAACTACAAAGAGTCACAAAACTTACAAAGAGTCGCGAAAAGTTCGCATGACAGGATTTAATTGATAAGAACAATTAACCTAACTCAGAAAGTCGCAGCATGCAATTTTTTTTCTCACAGAGTTTTAGTTCAAAAAATTATACCTTGTTAACTGCTTCTTATAATCTTGAAAACCAATTTTTTCGTCTGAAAACTTTCGAACAGACAGTACTTCGCCAAGAACCATTTGACCTATTTGAGAAAAATTTTACGCACAAAATTAGTTTTTCAAGGTAAGTTAATGTTACAATATTGCCTAAAAATCATTAGCAAAAATGGCAGTAGTCTCCAAACATTTTTTGCTCAGTGAAAAGTTTGCAGACTAACTTTCAAAAAGTTAGCAAACGGCTGAATAGGTGCTGATTTTTTTTGTGCAAAATTTGCTCTATTAATCTATTAATCGCTCTATTAATTTCCTAGTTTTTTGAAAACTACCCCATCAATCTTGATCCTTATTTCAAATAAAATTCGTCAACAGTTGTTTTTATCCAATTCTGACTATCTAAAAACTTCTTTTGCACATTTCTTTATAATTGGCGAATAGCATCAATAAGAATGGGTCGTCAGCAGGAAACGTTCAGGAGCAGCACATAGTTTTTACGGAGCGAACTTTGTTGATTTGATATTTATTTCACTATCGTAAACCTTCTCCTCTAATGTTTCTTTTTTTGAACTAGTTTTTTGAACAGTTTGTATGAACCATTCTTATCAACCATTTCTATGACCTATTTGATAGCAAGCACAAAAACGCACCTGCCCGATTCGATTTTCGTTTTGTTTTGCAATTTTACCCATTCTATCCTTAGTTAAATCTCCTTAGTACAGACGAATACTTATAATCAAGATTCAGTTAATCAATGTACACAATTCTGAACAGATGGTGTCCTTGTTGAGTGACCAAGTTGCCTGGAATAATTGCGGCTCCGGACGGATCGGAAGCTAGGCCGTCTTTGCAAAAAAAACCAACTAAGTGCTGAGATGATTTGTCTGAGTTAGTTTTGATTGTCTGAAAACGAGGAATAATTGCTGGTTCTTTACACCCATTTCGGCCGACGAAAGTTTGATTCCTGAACAGCTAAAGAATTTTGACATAAGTCCCGCAAAAAAGTAGTTTTTTTCGGCTAAACTTGTTTGATGGTTATGTGATGATGCATATTTTACCAGTATATT